TATATATATATATATATATATATATATATATATATATATATATATATATATAAAGAAATGACTTCCAAACTTCATGACAAGTATAGACAAATTTAGTAACTTTTCACCTTTGATAAGATTACTTTTCATCCCATATCATATCCCATATTTATAAGCAAATCCATAAAACATCAACATTTAAATCTTGGTATTCATAAAGGTTGCCAGAACTTTAAAAAAATAGTCTTATTTTAATCTTGAACAAATTCCTTCCTTGTACTTTTAAGAGTTTTAATCTTTAATTCAATCAGATACTATTATAGGATTTAATTTCTCTTCAATTCTTCTTTATCCCATTGAATAGATTTCTTCAAGGTTTTAACAAGCCTTTTTTGTGGATCCAATAAGAAAATATTTTCCAGGCCATTCTCTTAGGTTATCATTTGTTTTTCATATTTAATTTTTAAAATGTCAATCAATTCCTTTTGCATATCCAGGAAAGAGTTCTTTTTCAAATCGTTCTCTTGGCCTGTCATTTGTAGTTCCACATTCAGTACTTTATCTTGTCAAATTTGTTCCACATCTGTCATTCTTTCACTCCCTTGGTCCTCCCCAGCAATTCCTCCTGGGACCTCTCCACTCCACTAAAGTGTGCAATTTGCAATAAGGTAGCAAGATGTTGAACTGACTAAAGATTGGCAGACTTGCGTACATTTAGCAGGAAGGGAATTTAAATCACACAGTAAATTTTCCCTTAATAGAAGCAAATGGAGCATCTGAATTCATTGTAGCAACAAATACAGTTACTACTGTATTTTCCTAAGAACTGTGTCTGTTCCTGAGAGAATGCTAAGAAAGTCAGGATGCAAAACATTTCTTTATTAATATCCTTTGGAAATATTCTATTCATAGAAGCAGACATCATTACTGACATTGTTGAATTTGTAGTTACTAATTTCTAGCTCCATTCCTCAAAGAACCCTTTAATTTTCAAATAACATTTTGCGTCTTTTTATAAGTGGCGGTATTAAACAACATTAAGAACAGGCTTGTATTTCCCCCCTCATGTCTGAAATCTTTGGTAGCCTCTTGTGACCAGTTTCTAAAATCATAAAGAGACTTGTCTTTTTATGATATACAATAACCAAGGTAGCCTAAAAAATCTGTTTCCCACCAGAAGCTATTCATTTCATATAGTCCATCCGAAAATTTTATGGTAAAAATCAATATTCAAAATTTATCCGGATCCTTAATCTGTTTCTAACTTTATTACAGTTAATTATTGAAGATAAACTTACTGTTGACTTTTACAACTTGTTATTCTGAAAGTCTTTCACAACTTTAAGATAGGGAATTTCCAAAAGAGATTAGACAGCGATTTTAGTGAACTTTTGATTCCTTTAATAAGCTCTGCTATGATTGCAAGCAAGATGACTAACTCCCTTGTCACCTGGTGCTCAGCCTGAAGAAAACTGCTTTCATGTGTATCATCTCCCATTCTGTCTTTGTCTACTTACCGGTGCCTCAGTTTGTATCATAGTTGTAAATTCCACTTTCAGGGAGATGTCTCCAGTCTGCCATACTTCTCCACAAAGTCCCATGCATACATTTGTTTAAACTAGATCATTATTTACTGTTAGTATCAATTAACATTTCTGCTAAAATATTGTTTCTTGAATCTGGATCTTTTAAAAGTATACTTAAGTTTTACCTGTAAAATCAATACATATTTATACACTGAGGTATCTTTTTTATTTTTTTCTTGGTTGACCTTCATGATTTTTAGCTTTTGTCTTGATTTTCAAGATAAAGTAGAAAAACAAAGTAAAATATTGTTCTTAAAAACAATTTACGAAACATTTTAGTATTTTACATTGGGGACTCAAACAGGTGGAATAATTTTATTGTTAGATTTATATGAGCACAGATTTTGCTTTTACAGAGAACTGAAGGTACTTACACTTCATGCATTCTTTTGGAATTTGGCACATTTATAATGAATTCTTTCTTACATTTCTCTATTTTTGTACTATTGATGGGGAAAAAGCTGAAAAAAATGTGATATTATACCTTTAGGTAGTGCAGCTTCCGAGACAAATTATCATGATAGTTTAATATTACAGGCCCTTTGGGAGCCATAACGTTTTCATCATTTTCAGGATAAAAGGAATTATACAGCTCCTATCAAAGGAAAGGAAACATGCATTTAAAAACTTGTTTATGATTTTTATAAAAGTATTACATTTTTGTAAAAGTATTAAATCAGACAATACAAACCATTTTTTCATTCTCAAGAAGGGCAAGTGAAGGTAGAATCGAAACAATATGATTGGCAATAGTATGATCCAACCCATCTTCACGTGGCAGTGGAATCACTAGGCTTGGTGGTGTAAGATTTTCTTCTGATGCAACAATCTAGCACAAATAAATATTTTATTTCATTATTCCAATACTCTGGGATAAAAATATGTTGAAGGAGTTATTAAAGATATTACAGTTACAGAACTTGTACCATCAATACTGGTAATCCTCAACCAAGAGGTGCTTTTTCAAGAGACAACTGGATTTGGGTTTTTTTTTCTTCTTTCAATATGTTTCATTTCTCATCCAAGAAGCTTCTTCAGCTCTGACTGGATGGTGGGGAATGGAAGAAGAGGTCAAAGAGGCCATCTATGTCAAAAATGAACATCCTTCTCTTAACAGAGGGAGAGGGATATGACATCATCTATTTCCAATGTACAACACAATCCTTTCAACAATTCCCATTTGTATCAATCAGGTTTGATGATTTATCTGATGACACAGATAAACCTCCAGATGATCTTAATGACTCACTAAAAGAATACAAATGACCAGCTGTCTACAAGAAGTATAAATCCTTCCATTCCCCACCATCCAGTCAGAGCTGAAGAAGCTTCATGGATGAGAAGCGAAACGTCTTCAAAGAAAAAACCAGAAAGTTCAGTTGCCTCTTGAAAAAGCACCTTTGGGACAATCATGACCTGGAAGATTGAGAATCTCCACAGATAGTAAGTCTCAACTTACAACAGTAATGGAGCCTGTCCATTTCGATCATAAGGTGGGTTGATGTTAATTGAAACTTGTTAAGTGAAAGAGCCTTCATCCTAGATTACCCCAATGCATGCGTTAAACAAATGTAGGGATGAATGCAGGGGTCATTAAATGCACATGGGGTGACTTAGGGATGCCTGCCTTGGGCCTCCCCCAACCCCTGAGATAATCCTGTACTTTGCTATCATTCCTTGGGGTCCCCACAGCCGTCTCCAACCCTCACAATGCCTTGCTTACCTTCCAGAGATCTGAAGAACTCAGACTGTGGGCCATTCTTACTGGGCCACATGGAGTAGCCATTTGCAGACTTCAGCAAAGCAGTATTTCCCACGCCTTCTGCTTTTCTGCATGGCCTCTTTAACTCAAAACAGGATAATGAGCCAGTTTGTGCTTTGCAATTTCTACATTTCCTAGAAAAAAGTTTTAAAACAAAGGGGGAGAAGCAAGAGCAGTGAGACAAAGAACAGACAATGAAGGGTTAAATGTTAAAAGGGTGATGCGGTGGAAGCTGCTTTGCCTTGCTTGAAATCTGACCTAGAAGGCAAAGCTGCTTTTCCCCTTCATGTTCTCCATCTCACCGCTCTTGCTTCTCCCCCTTCATTTTAAAACCTTTTTTCTAGGAAATTAGAAACTGCAAAGCACAAACTGTGGCTCATTATCCTGTTTTGAGTTAAAGAAGTCTTAAGCAGGTGACCTGTTCCATTATTAGGCCTCACATGGCCTTCCCCACCCTGAGATACTTCATGTGCATTTAACGACCCACATATTTGATTAGCAAATGCATGGGTGATTGCAGGGAGTGATCATGTTCAAGTTATGCAATTCGTTCCTATGAATCCTCAGGTTACAACTGCAATTGGCAGGCTTCATTATATTCGTAACTCAAGGACTACTTGTAAAGCCTATGTTTGCTTACCTGCTGCAACATACACTCCAATAATAAGGCAACAGAAACCACCTCATCAGGGACACAGCTCAGGAGATCATTGTAGTACCTCATGTCTACATCTTTAATAATAAAATTATTTTAATAAAAATAAAATTTAAAAATGCATTAAAAACTTTTAGGTATAGAGAGCTATCAATAAATACAATCTGAGTATATATTATACACCTGTGGAAATTCCTACTTCTCAAAATAAGGAGGTGATTCCCTTTGCAATAGGCCCTTAAGGCCAAAGAAGGCAAGCTCTGTTTGAGTAACTGAAAGGTTTTTCTCTCAATCTACAGATAATAATTCTTTAAACAATTCTTTAACAAAAAGAAAAAAATCTTCCTGAAGGTGCACAAGGAAAAAATCAAGACTTTGATTGACAATGGTGAGCCTTACGATGGAAAGGCAGCAGTACAAACTCTTGAAAGATTATGATATGCTTAGTCTGTGATTGCCTGAAACCTTTGGGGACTTTTTAAATTTAAACATCATCTGGTTTGAGGATACTTTCAGTCAATATGGCTGGCAACCCTGCTCATACTTTGCTTGATCCTTAAAAATGTAAAGCACATTCAAACTTGTAAGATTCTGTTAGAATAAAAATAGTACTGAACTACCGTGTTTCCCCGAAAATATGAACTTTCCCGAAACTATTGCCACATTTTTTGCGTGGGCAAAAATATAAGCCCACCCCAAAAATAAACCCCATGGACAACCCCCCCCCCCTCTGGGCAGGCAGAGCACCGCTCACCCACCTAGCGGTATTCCGAAGGCGCCAAGCCATGGGAGCCAGGGGGGGGGGGAAGGGGCTCACGTTCCTTGCTGCCTTCGGGATACCACTAGGTTGGGGAGTAGCATTCTGCCTGGCTGGAGGGGGGAGTTGCTGGGTGGGTGCTCCCTTGCGAGCGGGCTCCCCAATAGCCGGGCACAGCCTCAGAGGTGAAGCAGCCATGAGGTGACCACGCTCATGAGCAGCCGCCCGGCAAATCCCCACTCAGCTGGCCAGAGCGCCACTCACTGACCTAGGGGGTATCACTAAGGTACCAAGCCACGTGGCCCTCTGCCCACCTCCCAGCTCCCGTGGCTTGGCACATTTGGGATATTCCCTAGGTCAGTGCATGGAGCTCTGCCCGGCTGAAGAGGGAGGCTGTGTGAGCACCTGTTCTGCCCCCAGCAAGCATGCCTCACAGCCTCACCAAGCCCTTGCGCAGCTCTCTCAGGGCACTGCCACCAGCCACCGCCGCCGGCCACTGCCACCGGCCACTGCCACGCTCCGAGCATAACTCCCAAACTCGGCTGCCGAGTCTTCCAGCATTGGCTGCTCTAGGAGTGCTCTCTATGGTGGGCTGGCTGCTGGAAGACTCTCTGTCCAGAAGACTCTGTCTGGAAGACTCTCTGTCTGGCAGCCAGCCCACCATAGAGAGCGGTCCTAGAGCGGCTGATGCTGGAAGACTCAGCTGCCGAGTTTTGGAGTTTGGAAGTTATCCTCGGAGCGTGGCGGCAGCGGCGGGTGGTGGTGCCCTGGGAGAGCTGCGCAAGGGCTTGGTGAGGCTGGGAGGCACTCACGCAACCCCCCTCTCCAGCCGAGCAGAGCTCCATGCACTGACCTAGGGGGTATCCCGAATGTGCCAAGCCGTGGGAGCTGGGGGGTGGGCAGAGCGCCATATGGCTTGGCACCTTAGTGATACCCCCTAGGTCAGTGAATGGCATTCTGTCCGGCTGGAGAGGGGATTTGCCGGACGGCTGCTCATGAGCGTGGTTACCTCATGGCTGCTTCGCCCCTGAGGCTGTGCCCGGCTCTTCGGAGGTCCACTCGCAAGGGAGCAGCCACCCAGCAACCCTAAAACAATAAGCGCTCCCTGATAATAAGCCCAAGGCCATATTTTGTGGGGCAAAAGAAATGTCGTATTTTTGAGGAAACACGGTATATATTGTACTGGTTTCTTTATTTCCTAGGGTTGACAATATATAATGAATATAATTGTTACCCAGAATCACTTCCCATGAGACGGACAGCTATATAACTTTGATTAATAAACAAATAGTACAGAAATCATGGATATCAGTTGTGATTAATTTGCAGAAAATCATGTGAACAAAATAATTCACATTTATTCCATCTTAAATGCCACAATTATCAAAATCAATGCCTCGCTCTTCAACTTTATTTTTTTGAGATCTACAAGATTCTTGAAGAGCTGAGACACACCATGTCTACTTGATCCTTTTTTATCCAATTTGACACAATTGGACTGAATTAGCAAAACAGTATTAGTGTCATTGAGGAATGATTAAGTTTCAGCATTTTAAATTTAATCAATTCATCTTAAATGCAATGAATGCCACAGTTGCTGTTTATCAACTGTTTATTTTATTATTAAGGATGGTTTTCTCATTGTTTGATTATGAACAGTCCTTAATTAAAAAAAACTTTTTAAACTTTAACTTCCTAACTGCAGGATCAATTTGGTGCAATGGCTAATAGTGCTGGACTAGGAGTAGGAAGACTCAGGTTCCAATTCTCCCCAACCAGAAAAGCCAACAGTTAATTTCTCTCCCAGCTAGATGAGGAAATAAAACATAATTAAATAAAATAACCAGGTAGTAGCAAAACATTTCCAAAAAATGTTGCCAAAAACACTGAATAGACCTGTTGAACCTGTCATTAGGAGTCAAGACTGATTTACAGGAGCATAACAACAATATTATTATAACGTATTATTATAATGGGTACTCACTCTGGTTGGAATAGCCTGGAAATACCATATTACCTGATGACACACTTAATCATGTTGGTAATCTAATTTGTAAGCTGTATGTTCTAGTCATCCATAGAAGGATTTGGTAGTCCTTTATAGAGCTCTAGGAGTATGGTCTGCTACTTAACCATGTTGTGTAGTCAGTGTCTATTGAAGAATAGGGATTACATTCTTCAAGGGACTCAGATTTGTCTTATCTACCTTCTGAAGTATGTCAGTAATCTTCATAAAGTTTTCTTTATGCTTAAAAAGCTAGAGAAAATACTTTCAGCGGTTAATGATCAATAGCAATAGGGACAGAAATTTCTGAGGTTATCTGTCATATTAATAAGTCTATAGAACTATATAGAGAACCCAGGCATGAAAAGACCATCAGAAATATTCCCATGGCTATCACCAAAGTTTTGCACAATGTTATACTGCATGCTTTCCTAGATCAGTGAAAAGAAATTGTTCTGATAATTTTTGCACAATAACTCAAGTTACTTTACCTGCAGTTAAAACTGGAAGTGGCACAGGCTCATCTACAGCTGGTTTTTTTTTGGTAGGAGTAACTGGAGTAACTGGAGTAACAGTCATATGTACCTAGTGAAATAAAACAAATTAAAATAAAATTACTCATGTTTATGCTTTAACCTTGTTACAGCTGAAACAAATGAATAAAATTATGTGGGCAAAACCCCTAGTATCCCTCTCGGCATACCGAGAGATGTAACTGGATTTAAGATGTTTCTTTGAAAGAATGCATGGTACAGTAGAACCTCTGGTCACGAATGCTTCTGACCATGACCAAATTGGGTTCTGACCAAAAAATGCACAATTTTCTTTCCACAGCTGATATCTCCTTTCGCGCCACTTTTTTTGTAAATGCCAAATTTCCAAAAGTAAGTTCAGGTCACGACCAAATTGGGTTGCAACTAAAGTTATGGAACAAATTATGGTCGTGACCAGAGGTTCTAATGTATTGGCTTCCTTCAAAGAAGCAACGGAGCATCTGCTCTTGAAGAGGCCATCTCTTGATTCAACTATAATTGACACTCATCAGGGTTCAAAACTGGGCAAGGTTAGGTCTAGTAAATGACCTTTACCTGGACTAGAAGGGAAGAAATATGGCTCCCTCTAATCCCATTAGACCTCTTAATATTATATGACTACATTGACTATGGTTTCCTCATGAATCACCAGTGACAGCTGGAAGTGGGATTGCTGTTTAATCATGATTCAGCTTCTTCATAACAGAGCAGCTCTACTCAATAGTTATTGGCCGGGGAAGTGATTCTGTCCATGGCCATACTATAGCTACTGCTATGGGTCACTTTTCTTTCTCCTGCTATTCGACATCTAGGTAAAACTGCTGGGAGAAGCAATCAGTCAGTTCCAGATGATGTATCATCAATATACTTGTGATTCATTGCTCAGTCAATGTCCCAGCCTGAGAAATGAGAGAGGCAGGAATCCAAAGCAGACCTTCTTGGTGGTGGCTGTTTGACAGTGGAAAGCTTACTCCCAATACAGATTCCCAATGTTGAGCTTCAGAAAGATATTAAAATCATTTCCCTCCAGGTATTTCAGGTCTAGTGGTTGAACGTGGGCTAACTTTTAAAATTGGTTTTAATAGTCTATCCAATGCCTTTATTTAATATAAATTAGTTTTTAAAGTAATTTTTAGTTGAATGTTTCTCATGGGGATTGATGGCATTGTTTTTATTTCTTTATCTGTTGTCTTGTACACTACCTATCATTTTGGGAAATGCTGCTATATTAAGTTTGTAATAATAAAATAGATAAATATCTTGCCAGTCTAGCAGGTTATTAATAATACCCAGTAAATTGAAGGAGGTTATTAGTAATACCTAGTAAACTGAAGTAGCAATTCCACAGTAATTACTCCATCACTAGATTTAGCTCTGAATTAATCATAGTCTTAATGATATCCAAATGATGGGATTTTAAGCAAAATGTATTTCCATACCAGATTTTACATAGAACATTACAATATTTTTGGCTATTTACCACAAACCTCTAATTTACTCTTCTTTTCTACCACAGGTACATTAATAAATCTAGTCGCTTTCAAGTAGTACTGATATTGTCTTTTCCAATCCAGGCAGTCATACATTAAACATGCAACATTTTCAAAGATGTCTGTTCCAGTTTCAAGCTAAGTAATAGAAGACAAAGAAATGTAAAATCTGAGTTTACAATAGTTATTTGCTTATTCATTTTATATCCTAGCGTTCTATTGTTCTACTCAGGTGAGTACTTAAGTAAAAGTAACAGGCAAATGGAGTAAATTTTTTAGCAACAGTATGCATCCAATTTAACAATATAATGAAATATAATTTTTGTGTTGTTCAGATTGAATGGTTTAAATTATTAATATTCCCTTTTATTTTAGAAGAATTACAATAAAAAGTTATTCCATCCATTAGTATTGTACACAGCTGTCCCTTTAATCCATTATAATTCAAGAATCCAATCTTCTCAGATCATTGCTAAAAATTATTTTTTCCCCCAACATCCATTGTAGAGAATTTTCTCATGGGGAATTCTTTTGATTTGTAAAGGAAATATGCACATGGTCTTACAGGAGAACAAATGGGATCACAAATATTCTTAGACAATTAGTTTTTTCCTTCTGGATTGCCCATTTGTTTTATTTACATTTCTAAATATGGTTATACATGCTTATTTCAGCTGTGTCCAGACAAACTTTGGAACATTTTCAAATGTTTTATTTCACTTTGAGGGATTAAATATTGTAAAACATCTTTATCATAATTTACATCATTTTCTCCTATTATGTCTAGCAATTTTTTGACAATAAGCTTTGTCAAGAGGTATATGAAAACACAGGAAAAACAATAAGGTCAGTAATCAGGACCAGAAATTATTCAATGGTATGACTCTGAACATCAGTGGAGTGTGCAAAGTTTGAAAAATTAAGCTTAAGAACACCCCCTCTTCCATATAGTTTGGTCCATTAGAGAAAACAAATCAGAAGCAGACATGACTAAAGGCCAAAGGTGCACAGAACACTGTTACCTTCCCACCAAGGTGGTCCCCGTGTTTCTACTTGCATTCTTATACAGGGCGGGGCATAACCTTTTCCTAGGGGGTCACAGCAATACTTGTAATAACACCACAAATAATTCATACACCATTCGAAAGCCCATCAAAAACTGAGTTTATTGACACGATTTAATAGTCAGTATGACCACCATTAGCCCTTCGAACAGCATTCAAACGAGGTGGATAAGAACACAACAAATCTTCAAACAGTTCCGTTCGATTTTCCAGATTTTTCAACACAGTTTCCAAATTCATTCTCAAAGTTTCAACCGAATATCGATTTTGACCTTGCTCCTGAATCATCAGAGCTTCCACTTCATCCTTAATTATGGCCCCAATGTTCTCTGCCGGATTGAGATCTGGCGAATTTCCCGGCCAGACGTCATTGCCCCAAAATTCGACATTGTTTTCCTTTAACAATTGCTGAGTCGCATTTGCACGCATGCAAGGAGCTTTGTCATGAAGAAAGACAGCCTCACCAACCACCAAGACATTGTCTGGATCACTGAGAAATGGAATGACATTCTCCAATAAAATTTTCTCACGGAAATAACTGCCATCCCAGGATTCCCCTTTATCCTTCAAAACCCAATGCAGTTTCTTGGCTGTGAAAATGACGAAAATCCCGATGCAAGTCGGATTGCGAACGATTTGTCGATATCGTTCATGTTTGGCGATGTCGTCGACGTCTTTAGCCCAAATTCGATCGTTCTGGAAATTCGGTTTTCGAATGGCATAAACGAAGAATTCGTCAGATGGCGCCAAATGAAGAAAATCTTCCTCGGTCCATTCAGACAACTAATCGCACAACCAAAGCCGATCTTGAACGTGTGTTTGAGTTTTCAATGGTTTGCAAATGACGTGGAATGGCTTCAAACCTTCTCGTTCTCGATATCGGCCGATTGTCCTTTGATCAACTCGTTTTCCACGAATTTGAAGGATTTCTTGGGCCACTTTTCGGTTTCCTTTTCGTTGTTTGCGACTGCCAGTTGCAATGATGGCTTTGCTTTCTTGGGACAGTTGCAGAGGACGCCCTTCTCCAAATTTTGTGAAACATTCTTGGGCTGTTTTGTTCCAATTATCAGTAACCCAATCCGGATGACGTTTCAATTTGTTTGCAATCCATTTTCGATTGATAAACGTCGCTCCAGCATCGCGAGCCTCTCGAAAGGCAATGCATTTTATTCTGTCAATGATCCTTTGTTCTTCCGAATCGAATTTTCCAGCCATTCTTAAAGCAAATTTAACATTTAATAGCTCATTCAATTCAGTTTTTTATGGGCTTTAAAATGAGGTGTCGCGGAAGTTGTAAACTGCTGTCGATCTTGCTGTGACCCCCTAGGAAAAGGTTATGCCCCGCCCTGTATGCTTTTGAACTGCTAGGTTAGCAGAAGCAGGGGCAAGTTACAGGAGCTCACTCAGTTACACGGCGCTAGGGATTCAAACCACCAAACTGCCAACCTTTCTGATCGACAAGCTCAACATCTTAGCCACTTAGTCCCCCTTAAAATGCTTACTCACAGGGAAATATGGCCATTGCCAGTAGGCAAAGAAAGTTTAAGGTGCTAGGATGGACCTGAATTAGAGACAAATATTGAAACACTTTATGTCCCTAAACCCAACAAGGATGCCCTTTTGTATAAGAACAGGCTACTAACCACCATGTCATTGTTGCTCCAGTCCAAAGGAAAGGAAGACTCCTGGACTTTGTGATACAGTCTAGCTATCTGAAAAATATTTGATCCTGGTTTTCCATTGTTCAGGATTGGCTCCACATATTTCCAGAATGTTTCCAGGTCTTTATCTGCTTTTTGCTTCTTTTTGTTTTCAGATTCTACCATTTGAATTGCATCAGAAACAGATTAATATGCTATATTTGTATGACCATGGCTAAATTGAATAGAAATACTTTGGTGAAAAAGAAAACTAAGATTTAAGATTCATCTCCTATTAACATTAAACACACTTTTAAAAATATGTCTTAAATCAATTTAATTATAAAAGAAAGATGTTATAAAGAAAGATGAACCACTAGAATGCACTTACCTGGAGTAGTGGAGTACTTTTTTTAAATAAAAAAGTGGAGCATAAACTTTCAAAATGTGTGCATGGAAACCCAGCTTTATCTCCTCCAGTGAAACAATAAAACATCAGTGTCATCCTGTATTTCACCAGACTACTGAGGCTACTGACTACAATGCATTCTGTGAAAATTATTTTAAGAAGGGAAAGAAAAATCTAACTGAGGTCCTGGCAGAAGGAAGAAAAAGCCACAAAGTTTTGGGGGGACTACCCAGTGTCCCAAAAGAAACTTCATAGGTGTTAAGAACATCTTGATATCTGTGCTAGACTTTCTGAGTGACTCCTGGATCTCTTATGTGCCAGCCTGGATGAGTGGAATGTAAGAAAAGGTATAAATATAAGAATCTCTGTGTGTTTGGGGCTTCCTCTCTGTTAGAGGGGCCCTTCTTTGTTCAGCTGAATAAACACGTAAATCTAAAAGGCAATCTCTGGTTCTTTTGTGTATGTTTACCAAGCCATACCTCAAATCCAGCACAACAGTATCTTATGGCTATGATCTATGACTTAACACTTTGTTGTTTGTATGTACACTGACAGCTTATGCACCAGAGACAAATTCCTTGTATGTCCAATCACACTTGGCCATTAAAGAATATTCTAATTAAAGAACATCACCTTTGAATATTTTGAATTGAGCTGGAAAAAAACTGGTAAGAAGTGTAAATCTTGCAGGAGACAGTTCCTGCAACATAGCTACATTCTTGACTAGTTATAGTTTTAGAAAAATCATTTCAAGGTAAGCTGCAATTACTGCTTGTTGTCATAATCCAATCTTTAGGGGGCAATACTAACTTATTGCAAATAATATTACTTCAAGACTATATGCACAACTTTCAGTTGTTGGTGACTCCCAAAAGATCAGCAAAGGATATCATGGCCTTACTTGAGTCACTTAACTGTATTTTGGTTATTTTATCAATGGATGAGGAGTTAGTACAAACCCCACTATTTTTTAAGACATGACTTTATCTCTCACTAATGCCTATTCTTTATTCTCTTTAGGACATGCTTCTATAACTAAATTCTATTATTTGTCATTCCCAAGGAAACACCCCCCCCAAAAAAAAATAAGATAAAGATTTAAATCATTTAAATAATAAGTACATATCTTTTAAAAATTATAAATACTTTACTTCAAAAAAATTAATGCTTGTAATAATTAGTAGCCTACCTTCTGATGTAAGAGATAGTTCTTCCTGAAAAGTAGTTGTTTCTAAATAGGTCTGGAGTGGCTCATAATTGTCAGAAGAAATCTGAATGATGCTTCCAATATTGATGCCCAGATCAGACAGTATAGGTAAAAGTTGAGGATTGTAAAAACCAGTAATTAAGAAATAATACTGAGCGCCATCATCTGGTTCATCATCTGTTTGAAACACCACATAGAACCCCATGCTTTGATTAAGATATATGGCTGGGATAATATCTGAATTGACATCTTCAGTTGATGGTCTGGTACATGTGTNAACTTTAAGACTTGTGGACTTCAACTCCCAGAATTCTCCAGCCAGCTCTGGCTGGAGAATTCTGGGAGTTGAAGTCCACAAGTCTTAAAGTTGCCCAGTTTGAAGACCCCTGGTATAGGACTTCCTCCCCCCACCCCCCTGCAAACACTGAGATCGACCACATCCCGCCAAACAGGTCCACCTTTTTTTCCTGAGACAAGGACCAATGTGTGCCTCCCTCCACTGCCAACGCACCTCTTCCAAGCGGGCCGCCACAAGCCCCGCTTCCCAGTTCTTGGCGCCTGCCCCTAGGGGACCAGCAGCCGCGCCACCAGCCCCGGTCTTGGGTTTCTTGGGAGCCATTGGAAAGAGTGGAACAGGATCGGTTGCCTTGGCAATCGGCTGCGAGGCCGTCTTCCTGCGCAGGCGCGGGAACGCGCCTCCCCACGGCTTCAGTCGCCAAGGCAACCGAGAAGCCTAACGTTCGAATATGGGCCTTTTGTCGTGACCCGCCAAGTTTGCCTGGAAGGAGTCCCCTATTAGCAGCAGACCAGGTGGTGGTGGTGGGGGGATTACTTATTTTTCCTGGCGATGGGCAACGCCTCACCAGAAGTCATGCATTATAAATGGGTGGGTGGGTGTTACAATATTTTTTTCCCTTTAGAATTACTACATTTTAAGCTTCTTATAGATTCTTTTCACATTTTTAAAGGCTCCAATGCATAAATCCTCTAGTCCCCTTTGAGATTTTTGCAATCTTTTTTCTTATTTTTATTTATCCATTTTTTCCCTTCAACATGAATAGGGGCTTAATGAACAGTGTATTGTCATCAAATATTTATTTGATGCCAGATTTATTTTAATGGGATCTGTCCAAAATGGGAGGCACATCAAATCAGCATCTTCTGCCAGCTTGCAGTTTTCTCTGGAACAGGCATGATTGGGTCAGTCAGTGAGTTCAGGAAGCAATATGTGTCTGGCTTCTCAACTTTTCCCAACTCTCCCACTTTTGGGGAGGATTTTCGGGATGGGGGATTTCAATGTATAGGTAGTCCTTGACTTACAACAGCTTGTTTAGTGACTTCAAACAAACAACAGCGCTGAAAAAAGTGTCTTATGACCATTTTTCACCCTTGCGACTGTTGTAGCATCCCTATGGTCACATGATCATACTATCATATTTATGACAGTTGCAGCATCCCAGGGTCATGTGATCATCTATTGCAATTTTCTGACAAGCAAAGTAAATGGGGAAGCCAGATTCACTTAACAACTGTGTTATTAATTTAACAACAGCAGTAATTCACTTAACTATGGCAAGAAAGGTCATAAAATGGGGCAAATTTCACTTAACAAATGTCTTGCTTAGCAATAGAAATTTTGGGCTCAATTATGGTCGTAATTCAAGGACTACCTGTATCTGGATTTTCAACTCCTTTAGCAAAACAAGCGTGCTTTTGATCCATTTATCAAACAATATTCCCAAATTCTGCTGCCAGTATCTACAGTGAACATATGCTCTGTATTATAAAGACAAGTTCTTTATTTAAGAAAGCTGTATTTTAGATTTATTTCTTGGGTTTTCTCTTAAATTTTCTTGTAAAGCAAAGTTATAAAGAATTAACTTTTTATCCTTATCAGTCTCTTTCGGATTTGCTTTTTTCAGGTCTATCCTTTATTTTTTCCAAGAAAATATGGTGACTGTATTCACATGTCCTCCTTAATTTGTATGAACTTCGCTGCATTACTTTTCCTATTCACCCTAACTTGTTGAAGCCACTTCTGTTTCTTGGTCCTCCTCTGCTTAGGAATATCAATCATTATTATTAGTGCCTTGAATCCTCTTTTGCTAAAATAGAAAAAAATGAATTGGTGGTTTCTGGATTTATTAAAAAGTATAAATTACAAAAAGAAATTATGACATAATCTTATAGAGAGAAGGTAAAATATAAATATATGTATAATTGCTGCTAGGAAAATTGGAAACTACTTTTTGTTACTTTTTTCTTTCTTTACTTTTTCACTTTTTGTTACTTTTCCCTATTCTTTTCCTCTTCAATTCAAAATTTGAATTGCTTTTATTCCGTTGAAATTTTTTTAAAAGGATGTCTCATCTGGTCTTCTACATTTTTCTGTATAACATGGGCCATAACGTGGATGATTTTGCATCCTTCTTTATTGCTTTCTGATACAGAAGACATGAGCCTATCAGTAACATTAAAATAAAATCCATCTACCAATTTCAGAAGAGGTTCTGACTAGCTCATTCCTTTTCTGATACGTTTCAATGGAGCAGGAGAGCAGTCACCAGCATATGAACAGAAGGCATCCATGTGAGAGGTTGCAGTGTCTATGCTTATGATAAATCTTTTAATGGTTTTTTTCTTCCAAAATTCCAATTCTTTTGCAGACATTAAACAACAATCCAATATGATGTTGTGTTAAAAAAATGGTTCAATCCTTTCATGACTGAATGTAGCTTTAAAGAATTAAATTTTTACATCTGTATAAAGTATATACATGGCTTTTTTACCATTTCAAATTGTTTTAAGTTTAAATTGGCTTATCTTTGTTGATCATTATATTGCACAGACACAGATTAAGATACAAAACAAGAAAGTTAATATAGGAAGTATTTGATCTATGAGTGGTTGATTAGTAAAAGTTCCAAGTTACAATGGAAATCCCCAGAACTACTTATGGCCTGGATATGAAGTTGGGCCCCACCTGCAGTCAGATGATTGCATTTTTGACATTCAACAACCAGCCCATATTTATGGCGATTTGCAGCATCCAGCAGTCAAATAATCATGATTTACCATGCTGTAAACTGGCATTTACTTCTAACTTTCTCCAAAAATACCCCATTGCAAACATTACAATTGCAACTGCACCCTACTTTTAGACTCAGCTCTAATATAATTTCTCCACAATTGTAAATACAATATATCTGTGCTAATAATTCTTCCCAGGAAATTGCTCCCAACAACAAAGGCAGTACTGGGAATCCAATTTTCCTGATTCAAAACAAAAAGTCATGATTTACCATGCTGGAAACTGGCATTTACTTCTAACTTTCCCCCCAAAATCCTATTGCAAACAATGCAGTTGCTTACCGACCACAATGTTCACTTAATGACCTCTGCAAAAAAGATCATGAAAGGTCAAGGTCTCGCTTAATGACTGGCATGAATTATGACTATAATTCTAGGTAAATTACGGTAATAAATTGAGAACTACCTGTACAGAATAATTAGTTTGCTTCTGTGGGAATACAGAAAAGGTGCAGTCATGAGGATTTCAAATATGCCCTTTATATGATTGTGTTGAGCTTGAGATCATAAAGGACATCATTGCAATACATTAGGCTGCCAGCTGCTAGACATATTCTTTAGATTCACAAGAGATGAACTGCATTAAGCTATATTCAGAATAGGAAATGTATGCGTTACTCCACAAAAGGAAGCTGACTACTAAAAGGATAATATGCAATTGGGTAGGTGATTTAAAAAGCAATTCAAAAGAAGTGAGTACAGAAATCTCTGGCCCAATAAATGTGAATTAGATTGTCCTGGAAATGTTCTACTATACATATTTGTTAATCAGAGTGTCAGTGTTTCAAATATCATCCAGAATTAAATCAGAATCAAAGGCAGAGCTTTCCTCAAGTTCCAATTTAATAAGAGAGACATGTTGGTATATCTGTGGAAAACCCGAATCTGAAAGCTTCCTGCGTTTTCCACCGAGTTGAAAGTTCATTGATCTTGCCTCATACCCACAAGTCCATCACATGGTCCAATCTTCCTCTGCCACACTGGCATTTTCACCCATCTAGTTCCGGTCAGGTGCAGAGGTGCGGAGACAAAGAATGACCTTGGGCTTCTAGAAAGGAATGNAATATATATTCATATATTCATATTAACATTAAACACACTTTTAAAAATATGTCTTAAATGCTTTGATTAAGATATATGGCTGGGATAATATCTGAATTGACATCTTCAGTTGATGGTCTGGTACATGTGTGTATATGTATACTGTCAACTGGCTAAGCAATCATGGTATACACATACATGTATATGTGTTATATTTGTGCTGACAAAATGTGTAACAAGGCAACAGTAAAAATATTGGGTTTCTGTTGTGATGGACTCTTGTGACGAGCCGATTGACAGATAATGGAAGCTTCCTCCCATAATTGGGGCTTACCAGGGGTTGTGACACTAAATATATACATGTATATATATATATATATATATACATACACATATAGTATATATTCATATGATGCATACATTTATTTTATTTATATGAATAACCATCATATGTATATGACTTGGGGCAGCTACCAATTTAAAACAGATAAAACGCAAATAAAAGAAATAACCAAAATTGTAACATATATAGCAAAAAATTGCAACTCACAACATCCTCCACTTAATACAAGCAGGAAATGGACTCACCATACTATATATTTACATTATACCCAGTGGAAAATAATATAAAGAAGTTTTATTTGGATATGGATGTAAGAGCTCAGTAAAGACATGACATCATTTTTGGTTTACACAGTTTAATCAAAACCAAATCGCAATGACTTCAGTGGGGCTAACTTCAAATTAAGATGTAAATAAAATTGCAAGCTTAGGATATTTTTCAATTCACTGAATATCTTTCTGGTTCACGTATTCAGAAATTTCATGATCAAGAGCTGTCTCTACCATGAACGTACTTCTTGGGCTTTATGAAATAATCTTAAGAGGTCAACTTTGAGCATATGCTGTCATTTATTTATTTAGCTGAAACATCAATAGCACAATCAGCTATTTATAAGATAAAAAGTTATATAATATTTGCAAGCTTGGCTGGAATCTCTGTATCTTAGATAAGATAGAAAAGATTTTACCAAGTGGAACTCAGTTGTTCTACCTAATAATGCCCAATTTGCACATTTGGAGATTTTTTTCACTCCTTGAAAATGCAAACAAGTATAAACATGGTTATTTACTAATCATCTTTCCTTCTACCCACAAAAACCATTTTTCTCTCAACTTTTAACATCTTGCCTAATGGACAATTAAAAGTAACTTAAACACTTGCAACTATTTTAAGACTTGTGGTGAATCTTGTATAATATATGAAACAATCTGAAAGAAGCCTGGAATGGAAAGATTCACTGTTAGGAGGGGATACAATAATGTACTTTTTACCTACCAATGAATTTATCAAGTTCATCTTCTTCCCCGCGTCTTTTAAGTTTGGTATCCTTTTTAATGATCGTTGCTGATATATTTGGTGAATCAGTTGACCGCTTGCCTTTGCCTCCTTTTCCAGCCTTGGCACTGGCAGGCTTTTCTTTTTCTTTCTCCTTCTTAGCTTTTCCTTTTCCTTTTCCCTTCTCTTCTTTCTCCTTGTCTCGCTCCTCTAGTGCCTGTTAAATTAGAGAAACTGCATCACTATGCTCTTGTAAATGTTAATAAGGAAAAGTTCTTATAAAAATCTAATCCATGTATCAGCATTAGTTTTAAAAATCCAAGCCATATTTAAATTACAGCCCTTTCTTACAGTCACAGAGAGACAAATTACTATATGGAATCATAGAGGATGCTTATATGGAAAAAGTAATTTTACCATCTGTATCGCAAAAGAAATGAAAAATTAAAACCATTATGAAGAAAGTGAGTAATGTTTGAGATCTTGCTCACTGTCACTGAGAATATTCTTCCTACAGAATACTGAAATATACTTTCCTTGGCAGTTGACTCATGTATTGGAATGCTATGGAAAATATTTACTATTGAACACAGACACAGACACAGATACACAGTTAGAAAGCACTATGTGTTCCTTTTTCTCTTAATGTTCATTTCACAAGTTCCACAAATTTAACAGTTCTCCACCTCTGACAATTTTAGATATTTTTTACTTTTCTTTCGCATAATAAATATTAGCTCAAATATTAAATATAATTTCAGCATAAATCCATCTAGTATATGATATCAATTTTATTATTAAGATGTCTATGTAGGCTTTATTTCTAACTAATTTTATGGCAAAATTGAACAAAGGACCGATCGTTTTCAGAAAACAAGCAAAGATATCTTTAAAAATATACTTTAAATGCACACATACTTTAAAAGTACATGCATATACCAAAAATAATTTCCAGTTCTCTATTTGTTCAGATGAGAAGATACCATGGCACTGGAAGTAAGTCACGGGTTCATTTAGTTCAGTACTTCATGATCTGATATATTCATATGTGGTAGTGGTAGTTTATTCTCTGAGCTTGGTGTTTAGCTTCTGAACGTTTTGTATCAAGCTAACATCCTCAGTGGGATTTCAGTTCAAATGTCTTGTTTCAGTTCTTCACCACTTTTATTGACCTTATGTGCTCATGTGCTTGGTGAGTCGCGTGATTGGCTGGTTGGTGAGTCGTGTGACCAGCTGGTTGTTTATGTGTGAAGGTCACCAAGTGAAGAGGTGGTTGGTGCCTTTGTTGGTTGGCTGCTTATGCATTTGTAGCCTCCTCCAAATCAACATGTTTGTTGATAGATCCATTGGTTGAATACCAGGCTTCAATGAATTCACGTGCTTGGTTTGAGGTAGCATGGCCAATGATTTTTGTTCATCCCAGTCAAGCTAGGGCTGCTTAAACCTCCTCTCTCAGTCTCCATTTGTAGAATATATAAAATTTCAAATTGTCAAACTAATATATATATGCATTATTATAATTATTAATCATTTATTCGACTATACCTATTATCACTTCATTTATACATAATACTCTAAATTTAACTAAGATTAACTTGATTTTTATTATGCACTTTCATTACATCAACTTGTATCTTTCCTGTAACAGTACAATCTTATGTCTTTTACCATTTGTAGCATTAGTATTCTAATTACTCTCTTGGTAAGCCTTGTATGGACTTCTCTTCACAAGTTGTTGCTCATTTGGTATCTCATGAAAACTCGCAACCCTCCATCTGCTCCTTCCATCAGCTTGTCTTTGGTTATCACTAGTTCTTCTGTCAAGTGTTCTCTCCTTATCTCCATCAATTTTTCTCTCTTTTCTTCTTCTATACTTCGAAATCTGGGATAGAGTTCCAGTCCTTCTATCTCCCCTTTCCATATTCTGCTTTTGCCATTTCCAACCATGCTGAATTTTTGTCAGTGTCCACAATTTTTTTATCTCTTTACTCATTTTTTCCTTCAATCTTTAGAATTCTCCTCCACTTTCTTCATTTGATAAACATCCTCAATTTTTCCATCAAAATTTTCTGTTTTGTATTCTATATTCTACAACGCCTTCTCAATTTTCTCTGTTACTACTAGTAACTTTTGAATTTTAAACATAATCATTTGCAATGTTATAGTTTCTTTTTCCTGCTGGGCCACTCTTCCAATTTGTAAACACTGCCACTATAGCATTCAAGGCTTTTTATTAAGTTTCAAGCAAGTTCATTATAATCTTTCAAGTCAAGGTTTTGTCTTCCCTCCCGTCCAGCTAATGATAGAACTCCCGAAGAACACCTGTGTAAAAAATCTGTGCTCTTCCTACTATCACTCTCAGTAAACAAGCTGAGAAGCCTTGGAGTGTTAAATGATCAAAGAGAAAGAGAAAAAACAATGTTTCCAAGCCTCCAGCCTCTAAGTGGCAGTGTTACTTCTTTTCCCTCTGTTGTTACAGCCCTCTTTAGATTCCTTTTTTATATCTTCTTTATGTTCCAAATTTAAAGAAAACAAAATTCTTAAATGGAGAAAAAAAAACAATCCAATCAAGCATTATAGAAAAAAAGAAAAAAATTAATCCATAGGTATAAGTGGAGAAAAAGTAGAAGAAAAACTAATCCATTTAGTTTAAAACATAGGGAACATTTGCAAAAATTCCATCCATAAAAAAAAGAATTAAAAAAAGGTTTTAATGTAGCTTCATTTCGCCGCTTACTCCCTTCTGTCTTCAATTTAATTTAACTTTTTTTTTTTTTTGAGTAGTCTCTTTTCTAATAATAAAATTTCCTCGCCAATTCAACACGCTTTCTCTTTCCACTTTCTTTCTGTTCCGGAGCTGTCCCAACTTCAGCAGCTTCAAAGGCTGCATTTCTTTCATCGGAAATAAGAGCTTCTCCTGGATCAATCAGGGACTTTGTGGTGTCCCTGAGATCAGCAGGATGTATTCTTCACTATCACCATCTCTGCAGGATGGTTTAGGTAGAAAAGGACTGTCCAGCGGCAGAAATATCGACTGGAGCTCCAAGATCACACACCGTATAGTTGCGACGTCAGCTCCTTTCCCCGCTATCATTTCCACTTTTGTCATCATTGAATGTTCCAAGCTGGAAGACGCATACCACCTACTCAGTAACATATTCACAGGCATCAAAGTCACATACAAAGAAGAAAAGGATCAACAACTTCCGTTCCTTGATGTTGACATAAAAAGACTGGACAGTGGTGAACTAGTAACCTGCATTTACCGAAAATCAACTTACACAGATAAAATTCCCAACTTTGCCAGCAACCACCCCACACCACACAAAAGCTTAAAGCTTTATATGTGAGAAACAATAAGAAAAAAAAATTGCCAAAAAGGTTCTTTTGTTCCCAAAACTGTTTTTCTTCTGTCCCAATAACAATCTAAACGGATCCATGTCTATTCAGAAGTAAGGGATAAAGAACCCAGTAAGATTTATTCCCAGGTAGATGTTTATAGGCTGGAAATTAAGCTACCTTCTTTTCAGCAATCCTTCTCTGAAGATCTTTCTGTTTGATGCAAAGCATTTGATATTTAATTAATTTTCCAATCAAAGTTACAGGGAGTGTTTCCCCAGAATCCAGAATGCTTTTTGCCATTTCTATCACCTGCAGAGAGAAACAAAATGGTAACAGTTTAATAATTTGTTTCAGTGCAAACAAAATGCAACATCAAAATGACAGTACCACCAAAAAGGTTTGACATCACCCAAATCTCTTCCATGTATGCAACCATTCAAGTTGTGTGGGCAATGAGCCAACTGCCAAACAAGGCTACAGGTATTGATACCTTCCTGCAGAATTGCTGAAGCTTATGGCATCCACAAACATCTGCCAAAAATGTGGGAAACAAACTCTTGGCTACATGAATGGAAATGTTCATTGTATTGCTAAAAAAGGGCAACTCCAAGGATTGCTCCGATTGCCTTTATTCCTCACACTAACAAGATTCTCCTTAAGATCATACAACAATGCCAACCATCAAAAGGGAATTACCAGATGTCCAAGCCCCAGAAGGCACCATGGTCCTAGTGATCACATTGCAAATCTATGCTGGATCATGGAAAAATCTTAAGAACATTGAAAGTGCATCTGCTTTATTGCTACAAGAAAGCTTATCGTTGTGTCAATTATGGCAAGCTGTGGAGAGCTGTGGAGACCTGGAAATGCAAACCCATCTAGTCAAGTTTATGCAGTTGCTGTACATCATGATATGGAGACACTGATTGGTTCAAGATAGAGAAAATAATTGTGACAACACTGCATTCTTTCACATTACACAACCTACATGTCAAAATGATCACGAGGAAACAAGAAGCTGAAGAATCATAAATTGGAGTAAAAACTGAAGGAAGGATCATCAACAATGTTCAATATGCTGACGACACAATTCTCCTGTCAGAAACCAAAGGCCTGAAACATCTGATCAAAAGAATTAAAGAAAAAAACAAATATGGCCTTTTCCTGAACATCAAACAACAACAACAACAACAAGTTCATGATCACTATGAGGAATGGAATTGTCAAAATAACAATAGACAATTAAGAGACAGAATGTGTGCAAGAATTCACTTTCCTAGCATCACAGATTCATCAAAGCGGTTAATGCAGTCCAGAAACGAAACATCAAATCACGCTGAGTTGCATTGCAATGATGAGATGAATTGCATATAGAAAAGAATGACATTAGTCTGATAAACAAATGCAGATTAGTATTCATTATTATATTTTCCACAGCTACCCACGATTGGAAAAAAAGGAGAAAAGGAGGAAAATTGATTTGTTTGAGCTGTGGCACTGGAGAAGACTCCTGCATATTCTTTGTACAGTGAAAATGATAAACAAGCAAGTACTGGAACATATAAAACCAGAAATATTGAATTCACAATATTTTGCCTTATTCATTTCAGTCAGGACATGCAATCAAACTCACTGGAAAAGTTATGTTCAGAATGGTCCATGGTAAAATGCAACAAGGCCCCTAAAAACATGGTGGCTAGACATTATCAAAGTGTAAACCCTGAAGTGAACCTGACTGAGGGCATCTTGGAGGTTTCAGGGTTGCCACATGACAGAGGGAGGGGGGAAATAGTTAGACAGGGTTTGAAGACAAAACAATAAAGCTTTCCTGTGGGAATCAAGGACATTCACACAGGTGGCTGGCCAAAGGAGGAGTGAAGTAACCAAGTAACCAGCCAGCAACTGGATTGGACAGTGTGTTAGGGGAAACTTTTACTTTTTAATTAGCTGAGAGCTGTGGGAACTTTAGAGTCAGCTTTCACCAGTTGTACCAATATGATGTTTCCAATAAACTGAAGAACTTGCCTGCCTCAAAGTTCTCCTGTCTATGGGTACATTACTTGGAATGCTGACAGAAAGTTGATACCGTATATACTCGAGTATAGGCTGACCCGAATATAAGCCGAGGCACCTAATTTTACCACAAAAAAACTGGAAAAGTTATTGACTCGAGTAT